GCCTGCCCCATCCCTCCATAGGGGAGGGGTCGTAGCCACCTGCCTAGAGCAGCGCAGGGAGCCCGGGGGCCACACACAGACCTGTTTAGATACAGCTGTTGCTGGGAGCCATTCCTGTGGACCTTTAATGGGGAAGGAGGGGACAGTGCACAGCATGCCGCACCAGACAACACAGTCCACATGAAGCTGTGGACTGCAGCATCAGGGGAGGGGCTTTCACAGCCCGCTGCAGCTGCCAGCACACTGGGAGAGAGGGAGCAAGCAATATGGGTTGTGGACAGGTTTAGACTTTAAGGCTAGGGACAGACATTCAAAAAGTCTGAGCCTGAATGGATTCAATCTTTGCAGGTTAGTCTAACCTGGCTAGGCTAAATCAGTTTTGTATCTGGACAGACATCCCTGAAATGCAGGCACATGCCATTGACCCAGACTCAAAGCCAGGGGGTGCTAGAGCAGCCCTCCCTTCCTTCCACACGATGCAGCTGAGGGAGTTGTGGCCAGGCTCAGGAAGGAGCTCCGATTAGCCCAGCAGGGAACTGATAACAGTGTTTATCACCCAATTAAGAAAACAAAAGAAGGACATTACCAGCTACTTGTTGATTCTGCTGTTGGGACAGTAGCCAGCATGTGGTCTACTAGCTAATACACAGACACGTTCTCAGCACAGCAGAGGGAGGGGGGAATTCCTACTTAGCCAGGGAGCGGTGAGGGGGAGGGAAGAAGCACCCTGCAGTCTCTGGAGCTGCAGCCAGGGAGCAGAGGGAAGGGGCCAGCCCTACTATGGAACAGAGAGCCCAGCCCAGCCCAGCGAGCATGCCGGGATGCTGGGAGTGTCTGGTTTATCTTAACCCAGCAAGGGGTCTGGGACAGACACTGCGTAAAGTGGTTTGAGCCAAGTCAGTTAAGTCTGATACTACATTCAACTAGGGTTATCTCAAACTGGTTTCTGTGCACTGAACATGTGTTCTGTTACAGGTTTAAACCAGTTTCTGATCACTTAAACCAGTTTGTGTGTAATATCTGTCCCTAGCCCAGGTAGCCTGTTATCTACCTCCAGTCCCGACTTCCCAGCACCTGTGAAAGGGCAGCTTAATTGCTTAATTGATGAGTCATTAGGCCACCTGCTGTTTTCTTCTTTAACCTATAAGGTATGGGTCCTAGTCCCTCCTCACCCTTCTCCCTTCCCCTCCCCACCTCCTTGGTTCTCCCTTTATCCCTCCCTCCTGCCTTCCTGTTCCCGAGGCACTGCTTCCCTTCCCCACCAGGCCGTGCCCCACACTAAATGTTAACAGATAATGCATTACCCATATAAATATACTTATCATTTAAACATTTAACCTTTCACATCCATACAGGAAACTGAAGTGTGGACTTTATGCGAGAAACATTGTAAGAGTAGGTTTGCTGCTTACTGGGGAAATGGAAAGCAAATTCTGCAGTGATCCACAGGGAGCAAAACAATGAGCAGGCTCAGCTCTCTAGCTGCAGCTACTGAGTTACTTACTACAAGGAAAGATCTGCCTTTCAAAAACAAAGGGCATATTACATTCCAAGGTGTATTATATACAAGAAAATACAAGAAGTATTTCCCCCCCCCAGAGTATTCTTGCTTAAAGTTAGGTACAGAACTAATGTAAACAAATGAACAAAAAAAGCCCTTTACTTTCTGAACAAACCAGAATTGAAGAATGAACCCCTCTAAACTTATTCTTTGAAACGCAAATGATGCCGTGCAGTAACAATTCTCAGTAATGAGCTGTACCTTTTCACTCAAGAGCACCACTTCATGAAAGGTATTAGTAGTCACTTCAGTGATTACGTGCTGTACGTGAAAATGGACTGAAGAGTCACCAACAAGATGTCTTTTTAAGGGACTATAGATAATGCTGAAGTTTTGAATGAAGTTTTCTAAAATGAAAACAGAATATAAAAAAATTATTCAAACTTCATATACATGTAATATTTGAACTGTCTTCTTTTATTTCAGGATTCAAAAGGAAAAAAAAAGGAAAATTCAAGTATAGTATATATGCCTAAATGTATTTATGGTAATCTGACCTCAAGTTCTGTTTAGCCAACATTTACTCTGCCACCAAATTCAGGAATCTGTCTCATCTCTTACTTTTACTTCTAGCTTCTCCTTACTGATTTCACTGTTCCGTTATGGTATAATATAAATATACAAATATTTGTCCGAATTTTTCAGACACCGAATCATCTTTGATTATGTGTAATATCTAAGCTGTTTCATATGTTCAATTTAGATCACAAGCTGTATTCTTCTATGTACCATACTAAGTTCATTCAATAGTTTAGACATGCATTTTATTACATAATGCCAGGGAACACTCAAATACAATAATTAGTCAACTAGAAATTTTCTAGTTTAATAATGAAATTTCTATTCCGCTGTTCTAAAAGTCAGAATTAAATCAATGGCCAAAATTAGAAGGAAAGGAGCCTTTTCATATACAAACAAAACTTAAATTTTAAGGCTACCAACTTTATTATCTTCATAATTGTAAACATAAGTGTGTTTTTAATTTAAAATGAAAATTTAGAAAATAGCATTCATAAAGCTCTTGAACTAAACCAGGCCAAATAAGAGCTCTATATTTTCTAGAGGCCTAGAACTGAAGGACTATCGATCATTTATAGCAGGTATATAAGTGGGAAATGAGAGGTGAAGGCTTGTTTACCTGGGTTAAAAACCTGTAAAATTTTAGGAACAATCTGTAACATCTCTTGTTGGGTCAGTACTAAGATCTATTTATATAAGTAACTTCTACTTTCAAGAACGTTGGTATTTAAAAAAAAATGGCCCCTTTAAGCAACAATATCCAGGAAGATTTAAAAAAAAGTCTTAGTGATCTGGCTATTCACCAGTATTATTCTTTAATTTCTTCACCAGAATGCAACTATAGCTTTTCATCTTGGGCCAATGATATGTAAGAATAATGGAAGGACATGTACTTCAGTAACTTGAATAAATTAAATATGAATATTCAATTATTAATACACAGAAATTCTTCTCTATTTTAAAGCTTTTTTCCCCCAAAATCTGCACTTAATGTACACCTAATTTTTGCAAGCAGTTAATAAGACAAATCATTATTTGCATGTGTTCCATAACTTGTATTTGCCATTCAAATCACTGCAAATAAATGAGAACTGCATTCACAGGCTCTTCTAAACAGATAACTACAGATATGCATTTTGTACATACGCTGGAAAAATACCTAACAGCAGGAAAAAAATAACAGAATCAACTTAGAAATTTTAAATACAGCTAAGAATATAAAGGAATTACCATTTGAAGTAATACTCTTCAGGGTGCCATACTGATAAAATCATTTTGACAAAATATGCATGTTAAAACTGTCTATTAAAAAGTCCCAACAACTTTAAACAGAATTTTCCACCAAGACTCATTCAGAAGGATATATATTTAGCAAAACAATTGTGTTTAAAAAACTGCAGCTGAAGTGAGCCCACACAACAGAACTCCATAACCTGATATCAGAGAATACCCAAGGCAATGAAGCTGCCAGGCAAAGAAATTACAATGTAGAAACATGCACTCAAAAATTTCTTGTAACAATAATTTGATTTAAACAGTCTGTACTCTCAACAATGTATCTTGTTTATAATAATAATAATCAATCTCACTATAACATCTTAATCTCATGTTTATAACTATTTCAATAAGATAAATTTCAAATTACCAAATTTTGTACTGAGTACCAAGAACTGCATCTAGGAAAGGAATGCAGAAAAGGCCATGCCATACATTAAAAAGGAGGGGACAAATTAATTCCACTCCCATGGCATGAAGGCATATTATTTCATCATAGAAAGCTTGTAGAAAAAACAACTGGCTTAGAAAAAGGTTTTAAATTGTCCCTTTTCCCAAAGCAGCAAAAACATGACAAGTATCTTCAGAGATATACCATGAAAAAATTACATAGTATAAAGAAAAATGATTTTTGGGCTAAGATGTAGAGGCTGAACAATAACTAGATCTGTAATTCTCAACTGGGTGTTATGAGATCCTTCATAGGGTGTAGTAGCACAGTTAGCACACCTATTCACTAAACCCAGATTTTAATTAAGAATACAAAAACTAAGTACAGACAGTCAGAAAGTCCAAAGCTGAACGGATTCAATCTTCACAGGTTAGTCTAAGCTGCGTAGACTGAACGAATACCGTCAAAAGCATTCTGAACTGCTGAGGACTTTCCGAGTTCTCTGCAACAGAAGAATTGCCCTATTCTTTTTACATAGTCAAAAAAACAAGTGTCATTAGGTTTGGAGTTAGGTGCCACTAAATTCAGAAAAGTTATGGAAGTGTGCCTTGATCTAAAAAGGTGAGAACTACTGAACTAAACTGATGAGCCAGCAATCCCTATCATTAGGATTTCTGCCCCGTTTGCCTGCCACCCCACCCCATCTCAGCACATATAAGAACAGAGGTTGGTAGCCATTATTGCTACTATGGGACTGCAGCTTCTTCCCCCGGTGCTATTCTGTTCTTTTCAGGTTCTTAAGTTTACTTACGAACAGGGTATGTGAGAACAAGAGAAGAACTCAGTCCCCTGTCCATGAGTAGACAAAGTTATTACCCAGCCTGGAGGCAGCATTCTGGAAAATATTAACAAACAGAAGGGGCTCCTGAACTGGAAATAACCATTTTCTGTGCCAACTTAGTTGCATCTAAAAAGCAGGCATTTCCATATTTCAGATTTTGAATACAAAATTGTTCCATACTATACCTAGAGTAGATCTTACGACTGCTTGATTCTGATCCAGGATATAGTGCGTCTCTTCTTTCAGGTCAACAATGGCAGCAAATTCCTTAACACGAGCAGCTCTTGAGGCTCCTAATCTCTCTGCATACTTCCAGAACAAATTGGAATCCAGTAGGTAGAGATTCAAGGTCTTGTTGGTCCGGCAGCTCAGGCCAGTAATGTTAGTGCCATTAACAAGAAGGTCAGGAACAAAGTAATTCCTATCCTCAATGTGAGGAATAGAACTTTGGGCATCATCCTTCCCTTTCTTCCCATGGGAAGAAAATGCTACTTCGAGGTTCTGAAAGATGGTCTTTTTGGAATTATCAAGACTTAACAGACCCCTATTTACTGTCCTGCAGCATGCAGTATAATAGCTGAAAGGACTGTAGAAACTTAGGAAGTTGCTGCATTCTATGGTATTTGATGCAACTTGAAAAAAAGTACGTTCCTGGAGGTAGAAAGAGTTCAAAGCTGCTTCTATCTCTAAAAAGTTACACTGTGGCACAGTGACTTGACTTGGCTTGACCCCAACTGTCTGGTTGACGCAAAGTTCACAGACATTGTGAGTTCTAGAGATCGAATGCCACTGAGGAAGCACCACTGTGTTACAACATGGGTACTCTGTTATGGAGAACGTTTCTGTCAATTTTGTGCGGGCATCTGGTACAACGGATCCAAAATCTGGCGAATCAGATTCTCTCAAGTGTTGAGCTGGTTCAGGTGCCTGGCTTTTGTTACAATTTTTGTATTCCAAGGCCACTTTGGTTATCTAAAGGGGAAAACACAAATACACACACACACACACACAGAGAAAACACTTAGTTCACTGATAAAATAAAACACACACACAAATACACACACAGAGAACACATCTATCCCAATTTTAAAGAAATGCAAACTGCATGCATTTTTAGACATGCTGTCCTCCAGTTTCAGAAGCATAAGGTAAAATCTTATTCTTAGATTTCTAAACTGTCACAGAAGGCACTGCAACCAGAAGCAACAAGCCCTATTGAAAAGATCATGCACAGTCAGCTCAAAACTTTCTTTTTACCACCTCCATTAGGGTTTAATAACCCCTTATGATGGCATGTTTATATCTGGCTTCCTGAAATAGCCAATATTTCCCCCCCCATTCCATTTGTTTTTCAAAAAAAAGAAAAATAAAGGCAAAATATACAACGTTCAAGATATTCCATTGTATCATTTTGTCATATGTAAAAACAACAGAGTAATCCAATTAAACTGACTACTAGGATAGGGCCAATGCCTCTATTCCTGCAGGCAGAACTGTCCTCTGCTGCAACAGTGACATGTTGCTGTGGACTCCAACAGGAGCATTGCTTCAATGCTAACTGCTGAGTTTGGTCAGTTAAGTCTCTCCTTTTTTCAAACACTACCACTGAAAATATGTATTATTGTTATGTATTTCTATAGGATCAGCGGAGAGCTTTTTACATTGTGAAAACTAGAGGTACACCGATATAATCGGTCCATATTGGATAGGCATGTGCCCCCTGTGGATTTGGGTGCAGGGGGAAGGGCAGGCTGCCCGCTGCAGGCTTGGGGTCAAGGGCTGCACCAGCTTCTTCCTGATGGGGGGACTGAGCCAGGGCTGCACTCAGGGTGTGTGGGAGGTGGTGGCGCTAGGAGGTAGGGTTATAGAGGGGGCTAAAGCTACCTCCATATTCGCTGTAGCCCCCCTCTCCCAGCACCACTGCCGCCTGATTCCCCCCCCCCCGCCCCAAGTGCATTCCTGGCCCAGCCCCTCCACTGGGAAGAGACTGGCGAAGCCCCTGGCCCTGAGCCCACAGCGGACAACCCGCCCTCACCCCACACACAAATCCGGGGGAGGGGAGCACATGCCACACATGCCTCCCTGGGGGTGCATGCAGCAGCAAGGAGCCACCCCCCTTCCCTGTCCCCTGACGAGCCATCCCTGGCTCTGTCCTATGCCACCCTGTCCACACTGGGAAGCGCCAGTCCCAGCCCCACTCCCTCCCCCACTGTGGGGGCCTTGATCTGCCCCCCGCCCCCAACTCTGTCCTCCCCCACACCCCTTTCCTCCCCACAGACAAACTAGCTGGACACTTCTCTCCAAGCTGCCAGGATGCATATCAGCTATTGGATTAGTCTCAGCTGATACAGCTGGTTAATAATCACCCATCAGTATCGCTCAAAAAAAATCTTTTTCAGTCCACCCCCAGTGAAAACTCCTCCTAAGATTGATATTCAATTCCCCGTTATGTGAATTCTTGGGTCTCAGTAATTTATTTTACAGAATCTGAGAACATACCAATATCCTCTATTGTGGATTTGCAGTAGCAGTTACTGTTTTCACTTACTTTCTTCATCTTATCTAGGGTATACAAGAAATTCTGAAAAACCAGTCCAGTTGGAAAATTCTAAGATTTTTAATCATTAGTGTAGCTGGCAATTAAAAAATATTTTATACATACACCTGAAATGAACTTCAACTTTGGTGAACATGCCACAGTCCTTCCAATCACTCCCTGCTGTTCTCTGAAGTGCAATAATGTAGAGAACTGCCCCTTACAACCAAGATGTGATTTTTTTAGGAAGAAGCTGTGGCATTGGCAAAACAGACTGGTCCCTAGGTTTGAATTTAGTGCCACCTCCTAGGAATCCCAGGAAATAAATTACATCTATGAGCAGTATTGAACCTTCCCAAAACTAAGTAGGCAAACTTTTTTTTTTAAACCGGAGAGAAATTCTGCTTAGATAAGAGGATGAAGAAGATAAATTGGGACATAACTGGTGTGGGGGGGGGG